AGAAAAAGTCTGGTGAGTATATGTTGATGGTTGTATTTGTTGCGCATGTAAAATGTTTAAGAAACACACAGATCCATATAGGTATATATATTTATATTTTAATATTTCACAAAAGAAAATCATGATCAGTGTATGTGTTTGAACATATATTAAAGAAGCCCTCAGTAACTCCAAGAGACAATACGGTGAATATGTAGGCAGTCCATAAATGTGTAGCTTGGCTTAATTGGTTAATTTGGATAATTATAAGTTCCCTATCTCTATGTAACCATAATGCTACCCCAACCATTCTTAGCCCTATAACAGCCCAAACCTAAATCCCGTCCAGAATAATTTTCTTACCGTAACAGCATCTGTTGTTTTTTTATAGAGCGGAATTTCAGGTGACATTTATTTTCTATTCTCAAACAGTAAGGATGTTAATTTGTAAAGAGCAATCACCTATTTGGCACATGGTGATTTTAGTTTGGTTAATAGCATATCACCGAGGATTTCTATCAGCTAAATTGAAAATAATTGAGCCAAATGAATGTGAATAGTAAATCGGCATTTGGTTAATAGACCCAGGTCTGTTAATTTAATTGTAGTCTAGAATAATGGATACTTTGTAATAAGTAACACTAAATAGGTGTTTTTAATATAAACCATTCATTTCAAATTTCAAAATGTTCTTCATGTGGGTTTTTTGGGCATTTCTCTGTTTGCCTTTGGTCTGCAATTGAATAAAAAATTAATAACATACTTCAAGTATAGCTTAATCATCCATTGTTTGTCAAACTCTTTTAAAAGCCTTTGGATATTATTCACTACATTAAGTCCCCTGGAGTTTTAATGATTCCAAAGTTGTTTTTCCTCCATTAGTATGACTTATTAAACACATTTTCACATATCTCTCCCTATTTTTTTTTTAAATATAATTTATGTTTACATTATGCTTGGTATATTTAACTTGTGAACAAACTGTGTAATGTGGGCAATGTAGGAAACATTAAAATCATGTAAGCATATTTTATATATGTTTGAGCATACAGCGAGGGTTTAGAATTCCATGTACACTCGTTGTTTTTGTTTTGAGGGGGGAGGGGGATAGGGGGTTTAAACTCCCAATAATTCTATGTTTCTGCCAGTGGGAGAGAGACAATTGGGAAGGAGAAATGGACAATTACAATAATGCCTGTGTATTGTTTTAGTTCTACACTGAAAGGAGCTAAATATCTTATAAATATAAGTTAAATATCTTTATTTAATTAAATTATTAGACAGTTCTAATCTGTTAACAACAAGCTATCCATTATACACATCTGTCCATCGCAATAAAAAATATAGTTCATCTAAGCACTAAATAAACTTTATCTCAATGAAGAAGTTAATTGCAATTTATTTCTGTTTATGTAGCCCTAGCCATACCCCCACCTGGCTGGGACTCACAGAGGCTCCTTGAAAAAAAAAAAAAGTTTCCTTTTCAATCAGGTCTTACAGTGCAGTGTGTTTACTTTAGAAATTCTTATCTCCTGCTCTGTTAGTTGAATGTAATCGCATCATGAGCCGCTTGCAGACTATTAACAGAGTAGGGAACACGAAACTCTAAATCAAACTCTCTTTGCAAAAGGTAACCTAAAAAATGTAGGCTCCTTTCTTGGAAGTGTGTAGGGAGGCTTTGTGTGCCATGAAAAGTATGACTAGGTCTGTATAAACAACGTGATTTAACTCCTAAGTGACAGAGAATTGAGAAGTGAGACTGTAGGGGCATGATCTACACACCAAAACCACTTTATTCAGTTGGTAATTTTGGTGCTTAGAGTGTCCCTTAATTTTTTTCCATATAAGGCTGACCCATCACCCAAGTACAAGAGAACACATCAACCTCACTGTATGTCTGTGAGGTTTGAAGTAACAAGTTATCAGAACTGGATGATTGGGTTGGCTGGAGGGGTTATGACCATAAGCCAGCCTGTGGGAGGTTTAGTTAAATTGACCATTTCATGACAGATTCAACTGAAGGAGTAACTTGAACGATTCCAGATGTAACTCGTTTGCACTAAAGGTAAGTTTCCTGCCATGATGTTGCTGGATATTTATCTGCAGCTCACTATGCAGGGTAGAAGTCCCAGGTGGAATTACCCTGTGCGTGTAGTCGTGTGCTGGGATCCCTTAGAAGATTGGTTGTGTTTTACTTAAGCTGATTCCTAGATTATCCACACAGACTCCACACAGGGCCATTCCACCTGGGACATTGATCCTGAGTAGAGAACTACAGCAAAATATTAAAACAGAAGATAGTTACGCAGAAGCCAGCCAGTCTCCTATGGGATTCAGAACAAGACATAGGGTAATTCTATCTTAGCTGTACCATGGTAGAATGTCTTGTTCTCAAAATTAAACATAATTATCTGTGCTTAACAATAATTGCATAATACTAGCATGAAAAAAAGTTATATAACTGAGCGAATTTTGTAATGTTCTTAATATATATATACACACTACACACAGATCCCAAGCCATTAAAGCCCATGAGATGCTACCTCTATAATCAGTAACAGACAAGGATGTAGAAGCAGCACAGATCAGGCTCTGACAATTTAAATACTTAAAAGTAATACTAAATTTAAATGTATCAGCCTGATAGCTCAGTGTTTCCTCAATCTAAAAACAAAATATCAATCAGGAACAAACTAATTACCGGCTATTCTACTAAAGCCAGTAACTGCTATTGCATCGTTAATTAATTGCTCATTGGTGACTCTATAGCCAAACTCAGCAAAAAGTTTTACTGATTCACAAAACAAAAAATCTAATCTATTTATCAAGCTCTATAGACATACATATTTACTTCTTTTCTTTTTATAGAGAGTCCATTCCCACACGTACAGGTAATACCAACTCTCAATTTTGTATTTCGTATTTTAATTTGCTACAATTCTGTGTTGAGTAAATAACCTCCTCGGTACCGGATACTATAGAAAATCAAACAGCAATAACTACAATTTTAAGAAGCACCTTTCTGCCCTCAGTTTTGATGTAGGCTTTAGTCAAATATTCTCTGCTGGAGTAATATTTCAATAGAAGAAGAAAGAATTCTCTGAAAGATTACTTGCCACCATCATGCTTTTATGTAGAAATTGTGAGTCAGAATAAAACTGATGGAAAACAGTTGGGATTTACAAATGTCGCCATGACATTAGCTAATGGTGCAACATTGTAAGAAAAGAATTAAAACATTCTTATTTTATACTAAAGGGAAAAGCATTTTTTTTTCTATGGTATAGATACTAAATATAAGACAACCGTTTTTGGCTAATAGTAATCGCATGCAAAAGGCAATGCTTTCCTTTATGTTATATAGAAAATTTTAAAAACGTGAAGAGGAAGTAACATTTATGTTCAGTGGTGCTGCCCATTGATCAAACATACATAATTTTTGGGGGGTCTATTTGATACATTGGAGTGAATTGTAGTGAATTGTAAACTGAGCTATAATCACTGTTTGCAATATTGCAATTTCAGTTTTTGATTCAATACAATTTTTTATTAAATAAGTATGGCCCTTGTATGCCAATTGATATTGGAATGGTTAGGTGTTTCCCCCCTTTGAAATGTGAGTTTAGTTACTTTTATTTTTAAGTTATGTTTTCATATGATATTGTTATCTGAAGGAATGTTTCCAAGGTGATACATTTTTGGTTAGATACAGCTTAACCATGTGTTTGTGCTAAAATATAATTGTATTCATTTTAGTATTGTTCTCTTTACATTGCGAAACACCAATAGTACATCTCTGTTTGTAATTTGTTCCTCATTGGACCTTTAAGAAAATAATTTGGAAAAAAATAAATGTGAGTCACCAGCCTCACGAACACCACCACTTCCAGGCAGGAGCTTCGGTGGTTGAAAAGAAAAAAATGTTTGTCTGCAGTAGGCCCAAATTAATGTTAACAAATCCTGCTTATCATGACAGACACATATCTATAGTATCAAAAGATGATATATAAAAGAGCCAAAAATAGAAAAAAAATAGAAGTAGCAGCTAAAAAAAAATCTAGGTTTATATATTATCTATTTATAATTTCTTCTTAATATATATATTTTTTACTGCTCCTTTTTGACCCTCTATTTGTCACTTCTCACCCATCAATCATCTCTTTTTGGCACCACAGGCAGAATTTAAAATATTGACCCCCCTGAACACACTCATCCTTGAACCAGATGGTTTACACACAACATAGTGCAATGGCTCATTACACTAGGCAGCCAAGTGAAACAGGAGCATGCCACCTCAATTGGGTAACCATACCATGCATCCACCACACACACATTGACAATGAAACAATGACAATGATGGACAATAATTCTTTACCAGGAACAATGAGTGCTCACTGGGCATGACAAGAAGACCCACCTATTACTATGCTATTGTTATTTTAGTACTCATCACAGTGGCATTTAATTATTGATTCCTCTAAAATTGCAATATGCAAAATGTTAAATGGCTACTTTTTGAATGTAGACAAATCCAGTGTTTTTCTTGGCTGGTTTATAACCACTTACTTTAGTTCCTCACACCCGTTTTAATTTACCAGTCTATTCCCAGAAATATACTCAATATTCCTTGTAAAATCTCTATAGGATAACAGTTTTTAGCACCTTAAACCCTGCATGATTACTTGCAGGTATATTTTATCACTGCAGAGAAGACAATCGACCTCACCCTTTAGCTTGAAAGGTCTTGTCTGCCCTTCTCTAACACCATCCAGGGCAAATACAATGCAGATCATGTCAAGTAGTTATGCCTCTGCCTTGTCAAGTACAAATGTTGAACCTTTTTGTGACTCTATGTAATCAGAATTGTTACCTAGACTTTATGATATGGAAACTACCTTATCATTCTATTTAGGGACTTTTATGCTATTTAAGACTTGTATTACTCTACCACTCAGAGATACGCAGTGATTCATGCTCCTTTGACCAAGGATCGACTACAAATTCAGCATCCTCTAGAGCAGTGTTTCCCAACCCAGTCCTCAAGGCACACCTACCAGTCCAGGATTTAGGGATTACCCAGTTGTGTCTAAGGTGTTTTTACAAAGAAGAAAAAAACACCTTAGACACAACTGGGTAATCCCTAAATCCTGGACTGGTAGGTGTGCCTTGAGGACTGGGTTGGGAAACACTGCTCTAGAGCAGTGGTTCCCAACCCAGTCCTCAAGCACCTCCTAACAGACCAGGATTTAAGGATTACTCAATCGTGTCTAAGGTGTTTTGGGGGGAAAAGAAAAAAAACACTTTAGACACAACTGGGTAATCCCTAAATCCTGGACTGGTAGGGGGTATTTGAGGACTGGGTTGGGAACCCCTGCTCTAGAGGAAGGTTGAAAGTCATTGATCCAGGATATAGCTATGTTATTGTCCTTATTATACTTCTCTTTTTTCTTTATGCTATCCTGATTGCATCAAGTTTAATACAGCCTTCTAGTAGAAAATGTTACCAAACTTACCATCACCCTCACCAAAGTAACCAATAATTGCACTTGTGCCATAATTCATTTCGTCCATAAACAGATTCATTTGCCTAAATCAAAATCATTTTAAATTGCACCCTAAAGAATTGAATCATCCAGGGAATAATTTGTTTTCTGGACAAATCAAGTTATAAAGGCGTGGATTAAAATGATTTTGAGTTGGATGAATCAATTTGTTTATGGATGAAACAAATGTTTGTCCAATTTTACTGAAATCTTAGATTGGTTCTAGGCCAGGGGTAGACAACCTCTGGCATTCCAGATGTTGTAGACTACACCTCCTCTGATACTTTGACTGCATTATGGCTTTAAGAACACGATGGGAAATCTGAAGTGCTGAATGTTGCCAACGCCTGATCTAGGCAGTGTAATCAATTTACTTCATTGTAATGGTTATAGTGCCTAGAGACCCTGGTTCTGTCCATTTGTTTTGAATGATTCAATGCTAAAGGAGAGTAGAGAGCAGCCCACCCTTTCTGAGTGGCAGTGATTAGCTCAGAGCATTAGCCGACTGCTTTTAGCCTTTCACAGCCACCCACTGTGGCTGTGAAAAGCACGATTAAAGATGTGTGAAATCTCTGCCTTTGTCAGATCTCCAGTGGGTGCAGATTGTGGCCGATGAAATTAGTGTTTCTAGAGTATTTCTTTAATGAAGTGAGGTGAGCAGGCTATTGCAGGAGATGTATGTATGAGTAAAATGGACAGAACGATGGGACATTAATGGAACTTTGCAGTTTGGGAGGGCATTGTAAGCTTATGTATATGAATTTAAATTTCTAATGCATTCTCTTGTGCCATGAAGTTGTGTCAGTCTTCATGGTTTCGCAAGTGTGTCACTATATGATCCTCATTAACCTAAGCACTGGAATGTTCAAGAAAGCAGGCCTTCTGTGTTCGAATAAAGAAAAAAGTATGATAATTCTCATGAAAAGCCACATATTTTCTAAAAGCCAGTTATGATTTTAGAGCGCTATCGCAATCATTATCATATGAGATTAAAATAAAGTGAGCAACGGACCATTTATCTGGAGGAATCAAAAATGCTAAAATTTTAAATGTGAGAAATCCACTTTAAGAACATAATCTGCTTGTAGGGGGTATTAAATAAATGTTTTGTTGATAGTGTGTTGGAGTGCTGTAGGGATTATGATGTCCGAACGATGCCGAATGTTCTGTAGGCAGCCTATATAATATTTTTAGTTTGCCTGAGCTTAGGTTGTGCTTCTACCTTTTGTGATCATTTCTCCTGCAGTATACTGTAGGGATTATAAAGAGAAGGAAAGTTTATCTGGCATACTTACATACACATTGGCCCTGAGCTGATTCAGTCTTGCCTCAATAAATCTGGATGTTGGTTTCATTAAACATAAAGTTTTCCTTTATATTTTTTGACTTTATGTCTGTTGTATCATGTTACATTTTTTTCCACAGTATATTGGACATCTTTAGTCGGTCTTTTCTGTCCAAGGCTTTAGTTTTTAAATTATCATTTGTTTTAATTCAAAATGGGAAACATATTGTGCATTTATCTGTGAAAATGTTAACAATTGTGTCTGTTCTTCTTTTCTCGAGCTTCTAATATGTTAACAGAACCATTTTAAAATGAATGAAGTACAGTGACCACTGTTGCGTGACCTGATCAATTGCATGTTCAATTGTCAATTATTACAGTGTTAGGATAATTTGGAAGATTGCATTGAGATTAATAAGGGTGTGATGTTACATAACCTGTAACAAATAATCTCCTAAATTGATTGATGATATAACAGCAATTGAAGTGGGGTTACCACCAAATAAAATTGTAAACCAATTCTACTAATTAATTCAATACTCTGTGAGTAAATATAAATTGTTTAAGTGATAACACATATGTAGGGATTTCATTTCTGTACAAACCTTTTGTAGTGCTTTGAACAAACTTTGAAGCTGGTGAGCTATTGCTGTAATAGGTAAGTGATCCTTCAGCCAATTGGAACTCATAGATAAGACAGACAAAATCTTCTAAGAGGAGACACAGAAGAAAGACTTTCACAAAAAAAAAACATTGAAAATGCTCTTGATTTTGTAAATTTACCTTGCAAATTATGCTGGGGAATGAGAATCCCTGCGAGCAACATTTAATTTCTTGCTATCCATTTAGATTGTAAGTTCTTACGGAAATAAAGCCCTCGACTCCTGTATTTGTCAAATTTTGTTGTTTATTGTGCCATTGTCTTTTTATTTGTACCAATTGTACCCGTGTACAGTGCTGAAAAATATGTTGGTGCTTTATAAAAAAAAAGTATAATAATATTATATTACATAATAAGTAATTTCGCAGGAAATTAACCCAGTAATTCTTTGAGCAAAATTTTTCAAAAAATTTGAAGATACACAGTATTTAAAAGGAAATGTCTAAATGAAAAAAATGCAAACTAATACCAACCTCTACTCACAGAGCACTGATTTCAGCAGAAGCAGTCAGATCTATCAGGAAAATGATCATTTAATTTGTGGCTTCTGAACTGCACTTCTCCCAAAGGTTGAGAAAGCAGTATTGTTTTGTTCACAAGCAAAAGCACCTTAGATGAATTGCTTTAATTTCAACATGTATTTAATGTAATTGTATTTGTGCTTGATAAACATCCCAACGTGGCCATTAAATGTTGCAAAGTTTTAATGTGCGGTGCAATAAAAACTGTACTAATGTAGCTTCAGAGCTGGCAATTTCTTTTAGATCCAGTGGTATAAACAAATATTTTATGTTTACTGCAAAAAAAATATATGACATTCTAACAGCGTGTTAGTTCTGATGTTTATTATTTGTAAAAGCATGGTTAACTCACCTACTAAAGTGTAGTAGACTGGATAGCCAAATTATTAAAATTGGAAGCAAACTAGATTTGGAGATTTGTTTCGTTTTGAACTCTGAGCCGAAATGTAGCCAGATCGCGAACCAAACAAAATGTGCAATGGCGGAGTATGTAGTATTGATTTGTGACAGTGCCAAATAAAAATATGATTAATGGGAAAAACAACTGATTAATGGCTAGCGGACAGTCACTAAATGTTAATTGCATTCACAGATCATGTGAGAAGTGACAGAGTGGGAAGGACGAGCAAAAATATATAAATATATAAATATATAAATATAGATTTATTTTTATGTTCCTCCAGTTTCTCCCTCTATGTGTTGCTTTTTCTCACTTGATCTGTGAAATAAATGGTGGGAAAATTCTCCTATCAATGTAATGTAAAATATACACATAATATTTATTATTATTCATGTTTATTATTTATATTTTAAATCATCAGATTTGTTTACCAAATTGATTTTTCATTACCAAAATTGTGTCGAGCCAACCTGTGGCTGAAATTTGGCTGTCCTGAAATTTTTTTTATTTCCTAAAAAAAATTGTTTGGCTAAAACACCTTATGTAAATTAATTCATATTATTATTATTATTATTTTATTATTTATATAGTGCCATCAGATTCCGAAGCGCTGTACAATGGGTGGACTGACAGACATGTAATTATAACCAGACAACTGGACACACAAGAACAGAGGGGTGGAGGGCCCTGCTCAATGAGCTTACATTCTAGAGAGAGTGGGGTATAGTGACACAAAGAGTAAAAGTAGGGGTGTGAAGTAGGTTGTTAGAAAAGTGTGCACTGAGGGCTTAGTAAATCATTTTTGACAGTTGCAGGAGAGTAGTCACGTGGAGGCGGGAAAAACCTGCTAACAGTTTAATTGATATGCTTTCTTGAAAAAGTGAGTTTTCAATGATTTTTTGAATGAGCGGAGAAGGTAAGGGAGTTCCACAGAAGAGTTGCAGCCCTGGAGAAATCTTGGAGGCGAGCATCAGATGTGGGAGTACGGACAGAGGATATACGTAGGTCTTTGGCAGAGCGTAGGGGCCTCGACGGGACGTTCTTGTGTATCAGGGAGGATAGGTAGGTTGGAGCAGCATTATGTAGAGACTTGTGAGCAAGCACCAGAATTTTAAATTTAAATATGTGTTCATGCTTGCTATTTTACAAAACAGAAATATACACTAGTTGTGATGCATGAATTCACTATTAACAAAAAAAAAAGAGCTACATAAAAGACAATCTTCACTATTTAATTTGTTGGACAGAAAGAGAAAAAACACTGCAAAAAATTAAGAATAACACGTGAAACTAACCTGACCTTGGCAAATTGCAGTTACCTGTCAATGAGAAGAAAAACTAGGAAATGATAAGAAATAGATAAAGATATAGTTTATGCCATTTAATGACATAGTTCCAGATGATTAGGTTCACAGAAAAAATAACATTGAGATACCTTGTGCTTCTTGGCATGACATAATTCTAGAACATGGCCCTTTGCTGATAACAACAGTTTCTAGAATCTGCTGGTGAAAATCAGAGTCATCTAGTTTATAATCAGTCATCACGTATACAATTAATGTCATACAGTATCAAATTCTGGAGGAAGGAGCATTTAGATAGAAATGTCAAGCTCATCTCTAGCAATCAGCAGGCCATTCATTATGTGAAATAAAGATGTTTTGGTCCTGTGACACCTCCGAAATCCTGATTGGAAATTTCCATAAATGTCAGTGGTTGATGAACTGGTTTCCAGTTGGCTTGTAGTAGCTTTCTCAATGACCTTCCCAAGAAAGGAA